ATCCGAAATTCATTAAAATCGATGAAGCATTTCCAAACGTTTCCAAATAAGTTAAGTTTTAATTCCGAGCATCTTATACCTAGTGCTCGTTATATTTTCTGCTGGACACCTTATCGATGAAACGACGAAGAGAAATGAATCTACCCAAATTGTAAAATAGTAAAAATTATTATTAATTTAACTGGGAACAATAATTGAAAGATAAATAATATTTTTTTTATTAAACAACTATTTAATATTTAGTACTTTTTGAAATAAAATTTGTTATTTTTTTCTCAGTTAATGTATATTCTAAAATTGATGACGAATACTATTTTACACATTTGTGGTGACATACGGCTAATTTATATTTTTTACTCATCAACAAATTTTCAATGAGATATTAATTTAAAAACAATTTCTAAAGATTGTAAAATAATTTCAACACTGTGAATGGTCTAATTTAAATCAAAACATTCGTTTTTTATTTTAATTAAAAATATATATTCTAGCATCTACATCCAGAGAGTATATGCTTAAACTTTTTTATCTGTCTTAATTTTTAATCTGCCACTCTGTTTAATTTTTTTTTGTAATTTTGATAAATTTTTTATTTTATAACATAACAAATTTAATTATGATAGGAAGAAACAATATTAGTTCATAATGAACAAAAAATGTTATCACATGTGAAAATTATGAATAACATATCTAATTGTAAGTAAAATAAAAATTGCATTTCCTCGATAAGGTGTAACAATCCTCTTTGCGCTATCACAATACGCAAATCTGTTCTTCCAAAACATGTTGTATGAATATTATTATGTATATGTATATGTGTGTGTGTGTACACACACACACACACACACACACACACACACATACACACACACACACACACACACACACACACATTTATGTATACATAAAATTTTGAATGCATGTGTGTGATAACCAGAAGTAAGTTTAATCTACTTTAAACATTGTAATGTATATAAAAAATAAAATATAAAACTTAACAAGATTTCAATATAATGCACACAGATTCAATGATTTTTTTACTTTATTATATATATAAAACTAGTAAGTGATCTGTTTTTTTAAATTAAAAATTAAAAATTGTAAATTATAAAAATTATAATAATTTTAAAATAATCTTGATCAATTTCCATTTTAACACACAACAAAAGACCTTATTTTATACTAATTAACTATAAAGTTTCTTCTTATTATTTATGTGCTATAATAAGATTTTGTTAAATTTTTATTAAAGGTGTATACTATTTCTTATTTTAATAATATTTAAAATATCGTACGAATTAGATAGTACGAATTAGAAGACTTACTTTGGTTGCACGTAGGTGCATCGAAATCTCTCGTACACAAAAATTCGTAAGCGAATGCACCAAGTAGAAAATCATATTATTAATAAAAATGTTCACGGCATAAATGTAAATGTTTACATTCAAAAAATACATAATCTTATTGACTCACTTAATACAATCAAAATCGATTTTTTCAGAATTCTAACACTAACACTGACACTAACACTAACACTGATTCTAACATTAACACATTCTAATTCTTAACGCTAATTATCTATTTTATATAAAATGTACGCGTGATTTGGTACATGTAATTATAATTATGACAATACTTTTATTGCTTATTTTATTAGAATAGTAATTAATTTCCATTAGTTTCTTGAAAATATCAAATAATAAAAGAATGAAAACATCTGTAATTTATATATTGAAAAAATATCTTTAAACTATCAAATTACAGTGAATAGATGCTGTTGAACGATTTTTTATTAATTTGCGATATAATGTACATGTCGCAATATTTGTATATTTACTGGTGCAATCGCTTCACGAACGTTCCACGAGTCTGCCGGTACAATCACGCGCGAAAGCGCGATTGTAGAAAGAAGTTTGATATCTACGAAATAAATTTATTCGAAAAAGCGCAAATATTCTCGGATGAAAATGAAGTCTTTTCGGCTCTTTGATATCGCTATATGATTGTGAATCACGGGAATTTTCCGGATCGGACAGACGATCGCCGTACTGATTTTACGCAATAACGGCTGGTTCGCGTGTCCCGCGGCCTGAAATCCTGAAATCTTTTTATACCGCTTAGATTTATTCTCTCGCTCGTAAGATTTTTCGATTATGCTAGCACGTAATAATTTATTCATGCGGCTTTTCGTACCGTTGAGACACAGCGATCGCTTGAAGAGCTAAAAAAAATGTCATATCAATTGCGCAATCAAATGAAAAATATAGAGATAATATGGTTGTTGTTATCATTATCATAAGTAATTAGTTTTTCATTTTAAATTAAATATATTCCATTTAAATTCCGTTATTATTACATTTAAAAATGTTAGCCAAAAAGAAATATTTCAATTAAAATTATATAATTCCAAATTTTTGTTAACTTGTTTATTATTCCAAGCATAAAATATTAATTAAAATAATTTTTTTTAATATTTTATTTTCTATATATTAAAATATTTTGTACACATTAAAGATATTTTTTATATCAGCTTGTGTAATAAAAAGAAACTTAAACTTGTTCACGATAGCAAAAGTTTCTCCATTAGCCTCTTTCAGTAAATCTGACAGCTCAAACAAAACTAATTTATATCTAGATGATATAACTTTTAAATATTTGTTATTAAATATTTAAAAGTTAAATATTTAAATAATATTAAAAGCATTACATTTTTTTAGTAAAAAAAAGAATACAAAGATCTATATTTTTTTCATGTATTATTAAACAGGATATTTTCCATTTTTAATAAAATATTTTTAAAAATTATTTTTTTATTGTTCTGTTATAATAAACTTTAACAAAGATATTTACACCACAAATTTTATACTAAATAAGGATACATCCAATTTTAGATTTGTAATCTTAACTATTTAAATCTTGTATTTCTCAAAAAATGGCACTTAGTATTAAAAATAGTGTTAATACGAATCATTATCAAATTCTTTCTTGTTGAAAACAAACACTGTCGACTATTATATATAAATCCATTTGTACGATAATAATAACGACAATCGTTATGAATTAATGTATCGAACGTATCTGGAGTATGTTTACATATGCGAAAGTAAAAAATACGATAAGAGGTTTTTTAATTGATCGACATAACGCGGTACTCTGTCTCTGCGGCAATTCCCACAATATGAGAAGCATCGTCTATCTAGATTTATATCCTATTCTCTAGACTTTTATGAAATTGTGAATCATGCATTGTGATATTACTATATAGCCTACCTTGTATATTGTTATTGCTACTATACATTACTACTATACGTAATGCCACACGACTTTCCATTTTTACTTCGACATTTCTATATTTATCTTCATCTCTTCATATGAAATTATTGTAATAAAATATCACGAAGTCAAATTCTGTTTACGTTTTTTCCTGCGAAAAGAAAAAGAACCACCATATACACATATATGCTCGGCTACCAAAATGTCTGATATTTTTATATTAGAATTTTTTATGTTATATTATAACTTTATATTTAAAAAATAAAAATGAGGGATATTATCAAAATATATTTAAATTAAATTGTTTATTACATTATTCTAAAAAATTTAACTTTAATTTCAAATTATAATAAAGGATACAGTACTTTTTAACTTAGTTTTATATATTGCAACATAATTTTAAATTGTGGAAAAATGCATTTGATAAAATGAATCGTTATAAAATTTATTTATATTATTATTATCAAATTAGAAATTCCAAAAATTGGATTATACTTATAATATTCTTTTTCCTAATGTATTTAATAAATGTAAAAATTGAGGATGAATACATTTAGCTATTAGATAAACGCGTCACCTTATACATTTCGATTCGATATGCATGTTATTCGGCAATATTCTGCATTAAGAAATTGTCAAACTGTGATATTCAGATCAAACATTTTCGACGTGGTCACGTCGAATATGAGCAACAGGATTGAATACTTGATGAAGTATTCAGTTGCACCTCCGCCCAGCAGAGATTATTACGGTCTAAAGATTTTTCAAGACGAAGTATTTAATTAATGTATTGACGTCATTGACTTCCTTCAATAATCTTTTCATATTTCTTAGATAATTTTGTACTTATGGAAAATTTCTCACGGACCTCGTAAAACACCGATAGTACATCGTGTCACATTTACCGAATTCAATCAAGAAAAATCTTTACAGGACGAAATAACGTCGCGGATTTGGTGAGATGATGAGGTCTTTTTTTAAAAAAAATACTTAATTTTATTGATAACAAATTCTGTTTTTAATTTTATTTACTTCTATTATCTTGTGTTATTTTTAAATAATACATTCATTTTATTTATTATGTTAATTGTGTTGATAAATGTAAATATTATTATACATAGACGTTCATATTCATCAACACATATGATATACACACATTTATAAAATACCTCATCAAAAATAAGGTTACATAAATAAAATTGAGATTTTATTTAAAATGACATTTTCATTTTTGTAATAATTTCATTAAACAATAATTTATAAATAAATATTTATCCAATTCTAACATTATAGGTAAATATTTATTAGAACACGTAAAAAATATTGCTGAAGGACATAAAAAGACTCTTTTGACTTTATCAATATCTTTAATCGGAAAAATATCAAAGTGTTTACAGATTACAGATATAATTAAATTGTTTTCATTATCATGTGCAGCCTATGAGGTAAAAGAAATACTAATAAAATTAGTAATTTGTGCAATATTTCTACTTGTTTTTAGATAGAATTTTTTTTAATTAAAAAATCTTTTATCTATTATCTACTAAATAAAATAATTATTTTTTTCTATAAATTTTTTTAAATTTATTAATATTTGATGTAATATTTATAAAAAGTTGTGTTATTTTTATTAAAAGCTAATTTCATTAAAAATAAATGTACACATAATATTAAATTGTTACATAAAATAAATAAAATATAAGAAAATAAAAAGAAAATCATCTATAGTAAATCTATTATATAGGAATAATGTTCTTATTTGTTTAATAATTTTTTGTTAGGTATTTAATACTAATTTAATTTGGCAAATACTTTATACAAGAGACAAAAGAACCAAAATTAATTTAAAGGAAAAGGAAAAGATTTTAGTTTATGGTTGGAAGCAATTGTATAAAGACAAACAAATGCAGTCGTCAATCAAAAATCAAAAGGTATAAAATAATAAAAATATAATAAAAATATATGATTTGTTTTGATAAAAATATATATATAAATATATTTTTCCAGAATCTTAGGATTTCATCATCAAATACAAATAATGCAAAAACTATCAAATTATTAAAATCTATCAACAATGCCTCAAAATCTATTTCAAACACAACATCGACTATTGACATGAGTAAGAAATGCTCAGACCTTTCAATGGATCTTATAACAATCCCACTTTCCAAAACGATATCTGATACTCAATTTCAAACATATACAAAAAACGAAAAACCCCTCCCACAAAAAAAGAATATAAAAAATTTTACATTTAATGTAAATGAAAAAAATGTTAAAAAAGATCTCGTTATATCAAGAATGACAAAAAAACAAAAAAATGAAAATATCTCCAAACGTAATGAAATCTGTAATAAACAAATAAATCAGACGGAAAAATACTCAAATAAAAATAATAATATTAACACAAAATTAGTGACATCAACACAAGAAAATAAATTAAAATCTAAAAAATCACAAATTGCTTCTAAACCGTCTCTTTCCAAAAACACTATAAGAAATGTTAAATCGTCCTCAGTTTTAACGTCAAATTTATCTAACGATATTAGATCAAAAATCAAGAACACACCTAAAAAGAAAATAGTTGCAATCAAATCTGAAACATTTAACACCGATAAAAAAATACCTGAAAATCCTTTTGTAGACGACGGTTTTAATCTGGCCGATTTGATCGAGGCAAGCTTAAAGAACATTCGAAGTCCACGAAGTATATTTGATTATGATTTCAGCTACATGCAACAAGCGGGCACAACAAGAGATATTTTGAAAATTAGAAATGAAATTCAAAACATCGATAAATTGAATCATCTAAAATCTAGTAAAAGCAATGTTTTCACACATAACTTTTCTAACAAAATAATTCATGGTGACGGACTTTTAGAGAAACTTTCAGAAAAATCTGAACCTCTTAGTGAACCATCTACGGAGTCTCTTGTAAATAATAAAAAATCTATTCTAGAAGGTGATAATAAACCCTTCTCATTATCTGAGAAATATATAAAAGCTCGAACAAAACTTCGAAAATCTTTAGATTGTAAACAGAGTGATTCAACATCCTCTCAAACTCGATGGAATCCAAACTTAGAATATATAAACTTTCAAAACAAATCCTTTAAAATCAATCCTAAGATAATTGACAACAATAATGAAAAATCATTTAAAGAATCATTGAAGACAACCTTTTTAGCAAAAACAAATAATTCGAATAATTTGAAGAATCGGAAGAAAAATACTTTCAAAAAAGTTTTAAAAATAACAAAGGAAATTAAATAAAATCTAATAAAATTGACTTATAAAATAGAATTAAAAAATATAATGAGTATATAAATATTTCTCATATAATTCGAAAACTTTTAAAATTTTTGCATACTATACATATATCAATGATACAAAAAATGGTTTTATAATACTTTGAAAATAAATACAAATTTTATACACATATAATTTTTTAATTATAAACTATAAAGTATAAATAAATCAATCAATTTTAATAATTATCTATACAGATTTTATTATTTAAAAAAATAATTATATATATAAAATTCATTTCGTAAGTTTTTATTACTAAATATTTTTTATGTGTGTGTTCTAATTTAAATTTCTGAATATACATCTATTTTAAGGTATATAATAAATAGGTTTAATAATTTAAAGGATTATTATTAAATGATTTCAAAATACATGTGATAAAATTCATTTATCTTTTTATTTATCTTTAGTTCACTGAATTTGTCATTTCTTATTTGCAGATATATCGCTGGTAGATATATATAAAATAAAATAGAGTGTATTAATTTGCATTTGATGATATGTGTCTAGGTACAAGCTTCATTTTATAAATTATTTACATTGCATGATGTGTGATAATAGGGCGTCAGAATGTGCAAATTTTCAGTTATCTATTAATATTGGCTATTAGGAAAAAAAAATATTGATCTTTTATCTAATAATAAAGACAAAGCTTTTGTCTTTTATATGTTTATAAGCGTCATTTACAAAATGCATAATAATTTTTAGAAACCACTAGCATAAAGTTACATATGTAACGCATTAAGAATTGTATATATTTACTAAGAAAGAAGCAATAGAAAGTAGTGCCTATTTATAATCTGTGTTCTTAGTCATAAATTTTAGAATGTAAAAACGGTAAATTTAATTATAAACAACACTATAAACTTTAACTTTATATTGCAGTAAATTTTTAATACATTGAAACTATTAAATTTGATAATAATATAAAATAATAAAAAAAGATTATTGATAATCGCGCAAAATTGACAGAAAATTATTCAACAAAATGTATGAATTGTTATTTAAAAATTTAATATAAATTTTAAGTTTTCTGCTGATTCACTGCAACTATCTTGAATTATAAAGTCAGAAGCGAAGAAAACATGATGTAAAAATTTTTACAAAATAAATTAAAATAGAAACATTTTTCGATAAAATAGCATTTTCAATCGATAGAACATAGAAACCTAAATATACCAGAAATCTTTCTTCCGCTCCGTTAATTAATAAATAAATATAAATGTATATAAAATTAAATTACCGCTTTCTTTATGATTGTGTATAATTTATTTTCTAAATATATAGTTTTTATTGATTACCAGAGCAAAAAGAGAATTTTGGTATATTTTATAAATCTAATTTATCAAACGCAAACATTATTTTGTCGAAAAACGTATCTATTTTAATGTATTTTGCAAAAATTTTCATCATCTATTTTCTCGCTTCTGACGTTAATTATAATTAAGAGATGGCTACAGTGAATTAATAATAGCCTAAATGCATCATGAATATGTATCGAATTATATGCTTTTTATCAATAAGAATATTTTTTTCTCTTCTCTTTCATTTCCTCTCAATACTCGAATATATCAAATATTGAATGTTGAAAATGTATATGTAAGTAATTTTCTTCATTTACATACTTCTCATAGTACAAAGTAGACATGTACATATTTGCGACATAAATTTATAAAATTTATTTCAATGTTATTTCAATGTTATATTAAAAAATATATGATGAGAAAATAAATAATATAGTACGTCTGTAATGTCTAATATAGTAAATTACACTCAACAAACCACGCTTTAATTGAACTGTCAATAATACAGTTCCATTTTCAAATCTTATTGTCGCTTCTATTCTTAACTTTATCATTGTTTAGTATTAATTTATATTTTATTTCAAATTTCATATCATTCGAAATCGATCTTTTAATTTTATTTTTCTTAATTTCTGTTAGCGTTGTAAGGACTATTTTTTAGAAATAGAAATTTTTCATATCAGAAACATAAGAGTTTTAATAGCAAGAGTTAACATTTTTTTTACAATTTAAGGCGCGAATCTGTGCAGTGTTTGCATTTTAGGAATTGACGTGTCCAGCGTCATATACCGCGAAAAATTTAACAAATGTTGATTTACATCAACAATATTAACAAGATCTTTCTCATAATTGACTTCGTTGCTTTTTCTCAGCGTTAGAAGACAATTCGATTTTATCAGCAATATTTTCAAGAAGAAACATTGCAAAACTTTTTTTAAAGTGATTTTAAAAAAATTGATTTTTATCTGTTAACTCTGATTAAACTACCGCCATGGCTCAGTCTCATCAAACATCCGATCTATATTGTCTCGCAGCATCTTCTCTTGTTCTATAAAATCAAAGTAAAATAAATATTTGTATTAATTTAAATTTAAAATTTTAATTGGGAAAAAATGTTATAAAGTATGATTCAAATATTTACCTTTAGTTAAGTTTGCAATAATACATTGTTTTCGGAGAAATTCTGTACATAAAGCTCGTGACAGGCCGAATGCATGCATGTTACAAGTAAAAGTCCTAAAAAATATCGTTAATATGATACATAATACATATATATATATATATATATTAAATATAATCCAATATATAAATTTAGTATTAATATTTATTTTAGCTATGGAATAATAATATTTACCCTAATTGTCCGAAAACGATGTTTGCTTGAAACTTCCTATCTTCGGCGGCAATGCTTTCTTGATCTAAAGATTTCGGTCGAGGTGGTACTGGTCTTGACGCTCGCTCACATTGCACTGCATCGAAGAAAGCAGCAGTCCAAAATCTCATGGACGTCCATATCGGTTGAACTCGTAAATGTGTGTACAAATATTCACGATAAGGCTCTAATCCAGGAACTTCCACTACAAATGACACACGCATTAGAATAAATACATAACTTTAATCATAAATACATGTAATTTAAATAATAAATAATAAAAACAATAAACAAACTTCACGAATCAACAAGAGTTATAGTTAGGAGTAATTTTTGTAATAATTTCAATAGTAATCATATATATATTCTAAAATACTAAATTCTAATTATTATATTTACAATAATTGTTTTCTAAACAATTATTATATCTTTTAAATATTTAATTAATATGTCACATCACATATAATAAAAGATTATTATTATTATCTTAATTATTATCGATATAATTTGATATAGTTCTTTTGATAATATTTCTATATTATTATAAATTTATTATTTCAACGCTGAGATTAACAATTTTATTATTTTATAGAATTTACCCTGAAAAATTTCTCTTTACCTTCATGATAAAAAGTGAAGCACATATTCATAAGACTTTTAGCAGGCGCAAAATCATCGGCTTCGTGACACTCGAACAGTGCGACTGCGAAATGTTGAGCCAAAGAATAAAATGAAGCTTCTGTGACACATGCACGTGCTCTTCTCGCATTCACCACTCTGGAAAACCATATTCTTCCGGATTCTGTCTGCAAATTTAATATTATTTCATCTGATTAAAATGGATATGACTATCTATTTTGTAATTTGTATAATATTTCTTCTACATCTTTTATTATAAAAACCGATTGTTATATTACTGACAATGCTACTAAAGTGTTTTATAATATCTAATAAATACCAAAACCATTTGTCCAAAATTAGCCTTTTGCTCTTGATCGATACTGTTAGGCGCGTCGAATAATAAAGGTACGAAAGCTTTCATGAAATCTGCGGCTGCTTCTTCTGATTGACTATCAGCCGACAAACTCGAAGCCCAAGATT